CCAAAGCTAAAAGAAAACAAAATTCTTGTGTCGCAGGCCACCGTTCACAAATTGTTCATTCTAGCACGATTTTTAAGTAAATTCATAATTCATGACAAAATTAACATAATGCACAATTTACATGATTCTAATTAAATAAAAATTGACCTTTTTCAATAAATATTTCTTTATTTTGTTTTTAAACAAATGCAAGGAATTTGTAGTCTTTATATCAACAGGAAGTATCTCCCAGATTCCGGGACCGGTATGTTTTAAACTTTCACCAAGCAGTGTTATTCTTGCAGGTGGTGTATAGAGCAGAGGAGAATGTCGAGTGAACTTTGACTGCACAGCATTTCCGAATTCGAAGAAGTCATTAAAAGATGTTAAAAGATGTTGGTAATTGATAATGTAGGAACTTGAACACAAAGATAGAAACATGATAATTAAACAAATTTTTTATGTTTAAAATTTTCAGTTTAGGATAATAGCAGCTGACATGACTATATGGATGTAGATTTAATAGAATTCTGATGAAACGATTTTGACATCTGGTAATTTGCTTCAAGTGAACTTTAGGGCTGTTTCCCCAGATGATGTTGCAGTAGATTAGATGTTGATAGATTAATGAATAATACAAATCTATAATTATTGGTTTATTCAATCTTATTTTAATTTTATTAATTGCGCCTATGATTTTATTAATTTTTTTCGATAATCCCACGAGAGGTTGTCCTTGATTATCACTCCGAGAAATTTTGTGTTGGATGTGCGTGGGATGCTATGGTTATTCATTTTTATATCTAAATTAGGTATTGTGTTAGTCAATATTTTTGGACCGAATAGAATGTAGTTGCATTTAGAAAAATTTACAATTAGTTTGTTATTGATGAACCAAATTGAAACATCATCTAAACTTTTATTAATTATCGTTTGATGGATTGCTAGTTGGGAAGAAAATGTTAGTATCATCTGCATACAGAAGATGATGAGCGTCAGTAGCCAGATGAAAATCATTCATAAAAATTATAAATAGAAGTGGGCCTAAGATTGATCCTTGCGGGACTCCTGAAGTTATATTTAATTTATTTGAAGATTTATTTTTTATCGACACATACTGATTTCTGTTTTGCAGATAGCTTATGAATCATGTGTGTGCTATTCCTCTTATTCCATAGGAGTATAATTTCTTTATTAATATCTCATGATTAATAACATCAAATGCCTTGGACAAGTCTATAAAAACACCTATGGTAAGGATTTTTTTATTCAGATTATTTAATATGTTTTGTACTAAATGCAGTACTGCTAGTTCAGTTGAATGTTGTGCTCTATATCCATATTAATTTTTATTTAATAAATTATTAATATTCAAGAATGAAGTTATTCTAATAAATATAATTTTTTCCAGTACTTTAGAAATAGATGAAAGAAGGGATATTGGCCTGTAATTGCTCATTTCCATCTGGATCCTTTTTTATGAATAGGTATTATCTTGGATGTTTTGAAGCATTTTGGGAATATTCCTTGATTGATGGACAAATTGAATATATGTGTTATTGGATGTACAATTTCTAAGATGATTTGTTTTAAGAAATAATTACTTAATGAGTCATCAGAGGTGCTTTTTTATTGCTAAGATTCTTGACGACTGTTAATACCTCAAGTTCATCAGTGGAGTTAATGTATATGGATTTACAAATGTAGTTGTTTATTTTTGAAGATTCATTAACTGTTTGATTTTCAAGCAAATTTTCAGAAATTTTAATAAAATATTCATTGAAACAGTTACACATTTCTTCTGCATTATCGATTATGTTATTGTTGACTTTTATTTTATTGATATCATTCAACTGTTGATTTTTATTCATTATACCATTTATTATCTCCCACTTTTTCTTTGAACAGCTTTTTGCATCATTAAATCTTTGACTAAAGTAATTTTTTTCTTCCTTTCGTTTAAATGATGTAAAATAATTTCTGAATCGCCTATATTTATTTATATTCTCTGTAGTAGGTGTTGAAATTGTTATTTTATAGAGTTTATTCTGTTTCCTTGATAATTTAATTATTTCATCACTTACCCATGGCTTTTTATTTTTCCGTTTCAGCGGTTGCAATGGGGCGTAAGTATCAAGAATTCTATTTAATTGATTATAAAAATTGATGCAACAGGTGTCAATGTTACTCTCATCCGTTATTGAATCCCATTTTTCAGAAGATAGAGCTTCCTTAATTATGGAAATGTTTCTCTTATTTATGTTCCTTTTCAAAGTCAGAGTATCTGTAGTGACAAATCCTGTATTTTCACAACGGTATAAATTGGATAATGATCTGAAAAGTCTGGTATTATTATTCCATTATAATATTGTTGATTTAAGTTAAAAAATATATTATCTAGTTGGTAAATCAATCAAAGGTAAGAAGTAATGCGAGAAAAGTAAATTTTGAAAATCTTTGGAGGTTTTATCCATTAGATTAATGTTAAAATCTCTCACAATGAAAATTTTATCAAGTGGATTTAAACTATTTAGTATCGATTCAATTTTTTCTAAAAAAAACTCATATTTATAACTAGGTGGTCGATAGATGGCAATTATCTTGATCATGTTATGTAGTGAGGCTTGATGCAATTCAAATTCCACGCAAAGTATGTCAACGTTGTCATCATCGAATATGTTGCTTTCATTTACAACATATTTTACATCATCTTTTATAAATATTCCAACACCGCCTCCACGTCTATTTCTTCTATTCTTGTATACAAAATTGTAATTATTTAATTTAATTAAATCAGCCGTTGTTTCATCGTTTAACCAACTCTCAGATATTACAATAATTTTGAAGATAAAATCAAATTGTTTCAATAAGATCTCCAAATTCAATAATTTGTGAAGCAGACTACGAGCATTTAAATGTAATATTGAGATAAAATCACTGCCGATATGCTTTTGTAATTTTAACATATTTTTAGAACATTCCTCAACAGTGTAATAATTTGAGTCGTTGTTACTGAGGTGTTTATCTGATATATTATTTTTGCTTTGTGTGTTATTCATCATGTTTTTGTTTATTTTTTAAAGTTACTTCATTTTTGCCATCAATGTTAATTTCATTTTTATTCTTTTTGTCAATATTATTATTTGGGTTGAAGACCCATTCACGAATGATTGTGTCCTCATCCCAGAGAGCAGAATCTGTGAAAGTGCTATCCGAATTATTGATGTCAATACATATTCTGAAGCCTTCTCCCAGATGAGACTTTGCCTCAAAACAACTGATTACTTTATATTTATTTGTTTTCATGTATTCTGTAAAAGTTTCATTATTGACTGTGTCAGCAAGATCACTTACAAAGTAAACTTTTTTTAACAATTGCCCCAGCTGATTTGGGACACATGCCAGTGCTGTTGGTTCCTCTAATGTTTTTAATTTGACGTTTCTTTTTCGAGACAAATGAAAAAGGAATTTCTTGTTGAATTGCTGATTGAGACTGATGTTGCTGATGAGTAAGAGGTCCTAATGATGGGGAGGGATGTTGCTGATATTGTTGTGCAGTTGGGGGTATTTGTATCCGAACAGCTGGATTTCTTGGGAGAGAACGAGGACTTTTAATTTCATTCAATTTAGGATTGACATTCTTTGCTGTCACCGCCGAGTAAAGCATATTCTGTTTATTTATTTCTAAGCTGACTGTATTTAAAACTGTTCTTTTATTTCATGTAGCTGCTGTTGGATTTTTACATCTTTGCTGTTTTCGTCATTCTGTTTTAAACCTGCAGCAAAGCATGGGACTTTTTTAAGTTTACTGCGGCTTAAATAGGTAATTTATATTCTAATTTATTCAAATTGACAAAATTGATAACTTAAAATATTTCCTGTATTTCGGCGTCCTTGGTGTTACCATGAGGAACAAGTTTCAATTTTTCACTTTCCAGCAGGCTTTCAACATGACTAATTAAAGATTTTTTTGAATTAACTAATTCTTTGACTGAGTAGAGTTGTTGTATGTTTTCCAACACTTTCAAATTTTCAGCTTCTACTCTGAAGTTAAACAGAAAGCACAATAAATCATCAGCATGTATTGTCCTTGCAGCCATTTTTCAAAATTCTTCGGTCCGGTTTTCCGTAAAAGCAACAAAATTTACAAAATTAATTAACAAAAATTAACTTAAAAATTAGATATTTTCCTATTTTAACCAAAAATTAATACTACTAAACTTAAATTTAAGAATATTTTTCAAAATTAGTCAAATTAAAACGAGATTATTAATTATTATTATTACTATTTATTATATTTTTCATTGTTAAAATTTTTCATTATAATTTTGTGTTTATTCTTCTAATTTATTTGTATAAATTTTTAATAATATTAAAATAATAATACTAATTAATAAATTTATAAATAATGCACTGACGAAGACGGTTTAATGTGGAAATAGATCTATCTGCAATAATTTTGATAAAATTATAAAAAATAAAGCTTCAATTTTAAATAGACTCAATCTTGTTGATAAAAATTTACTAAGAAAAATTGAAAAATTCGAATACAAGTTAAATTAGCGATGATAACAAATATAACAAGAAAACGATAATTAATTATATAGAGTAATACCACCATTTTGGTGGATATAACAATATTCTCAGCAAACAGCATCTTACTAAATCAAATTTATTTTCCTTTCCACAATAAGAAACAGATTATGCGTCGTGGTTTGTTAATTTAATCCATTTTGCTATATTTGTACATATCTAATGTTCTAATTGCTCTTATCCAACAGAAGTTTGTTGCTTTTAAAAATAATCTCAAGCTTTGTTTTTTCTATGATAACTAGCTTTAATTTTGCATAAAATTTCGTAAACTATTTGGTTGACTTCAATTTATGCTAAAAAACTATCAACTATTGAAATTGAATACAGATTAAAAATATATTATTTGACCTTAAAAGATTTTTAAACTGTGGACTTTTCAATTTTTGAAAAACTTGTAATGACAAAGTGACAAAAATGGAATTATTAACCATGGTTAAAAAAATGCCAAACTCTGGATTCATGCTGACTGTATCACCATCAGAAAAGACGAAAGTTCTTTTTTTATTTTTTTTAGCCATTAACACAATACATATTTGTTGAGCTGCAACTGATAAAACAGGCAATTCAATCCTATTGAATTCATCAAAACAACCCCATGAGCCTGATTGGGCCAATCCTTTGAATATTCTTCCTAAACCTCTAAAATCCATTTGATCCGAACAATTGAACACAACCACGTATTTTCCCAATGCTTTTCCCATATCTTTAACTGTTTCTGTTTTACCAGTTCCAGCGGGACCTGCTGGAGCTGCTCCCATAGACATACCTAAAGACTGTGCCATTGTAATATAGCATCTGCAATTTTTCATAATTTTGAAGAATATAAACAAACAATTTGGCAGAATTTCAAATATCTGTATAAATCTGTTAGAATATTTCACATGTATACACCAATTTCGCAATGAGAATAACGTAATCGTAATTGTTTCTCTTAACCGTTGCAGTGACTGGAGCTAAATGCCTATAACATGCAATGTGTGCGCTGAGTTCATTCACACGTATTTCTCATACGCTGTACCCGCGCCGTTATATTCTTTGATAAGTTATTAAGAATCATAAAAATGAAAAACCTCTTGAAACTTCCTGACAAATGTAATCAACCTTTGCGGCTTAAATCATAATTTTCTGATGGCAAACAAGAAATATATTTAAACAACGCTTATTTCTCTGAAGAGTTCTACGATTACTGTTTAGACTCAATAGTGATTATTTTATACGAGGGTTTAACCCAGTTTAATCAAGTTTTGGGTTCAAGTCACATGCTTACGATGACAATGTTCAAAATATTCCAAGTAATAATTTAAAAAATCTTGTTAACGTAGTACGCCAGTTAGTAAGGTTTGTCTCAAATCGATATTTAGATGACGAAAAAATTTTTTTCCACTCAATCCGTGCAAAACTCTATTACTTGTAGAAAAAAGCGGCAAACAAAAACGTTAGTATGTCGTAAAATTAATTTCAAAGTAACTAAAATTGTTGTTTCAGTTGGCCGTCTGTCTCGTAACTTGGTTCTCATTTAAAACTGACAAATTATTTAGTTGCACATTGGTTTGATGTATTTTACAAGGAAGTTTTTTCCATTTTCGAATTATAGGTACGTTGAAAACTTTTTACACTGTTTCATATGACTACCATAAGTTTAGTGATTAAGTTAATTATAATGTTTAAATAATAAAAGCTAAGAAATTATGAGAAAAAATGGTGTTGGAAATTTTGTCAGAGAACCGCTAGCCCAAGAAGTACTGGATATTAAAAGGATAAACTCACGTATCATGTAGATCAAGATCGCCTAGAAAAGCAAATAATGACTATTTTTTCTGCATACGCACCACAGGCAAGCGAACCAGAAGAGATGAAAAATGACTTCTGCGCAGCGTTCTCTGACACCATCTTAACAATACCAAAATCTGAAACAATCCTGATTAGAGGCGATCTCAATGGCCACGTTGGAGAGAAAAGAGATAGTTTTGACAACGTGCATGGCGGTTTTAGCTATGGAAAACGGAATAAAGATGGCAACCGCATCCTTGAATTTGCTGAAAGTCACGGGTTTTGTTTACTGAACACACATTTTAAAAAGAGGTTGGAATAGTATAGAAAAGTATACAAAAGTAGATCATCAGTCACGCAAATTGATTTTTTCGGTGTCAAGCAACAGTACGAAGGCTATTCAAAAATGTCAAAGTTATACCTAACAAATCATGTGTCACCCAACATAGAATCCTTGTGGCAGACCTGGTTTTCGAACTGTCAAAAAATAAGTCTAAACAAATGCCTCGGAAAATCAAAACGTGGAAGCTGAAAAGCAATATTCATCGATACAAATTTCAACAGGTTGTTGCCACACAGTTAGACCACCAATCGCAATCCAGTACAGATTGGAGTACATTAAAAACTGTTTTGATAAACGCTGCAACTACAATTTGTGGGAAAACCGGTACAAAACGCCAACATAAACGGGACACGTGGTAATGGAATGACAGTGTACAAAATGCAATAGCTGAAAAGAAAGCTCATACAAGCAATAGCAAAAATCAAAGTCTGTTGATGACCATAAAATTTTCCGTGAGAAAAACAACTATGCAAGAGGTCAAGTTGCACTGGCTCGGACAGATCAGTGCAGGGAGTGGCTCACTAAAAGCAAAGGTGAATAAATGAAATCTCTGTATCGTACAGCAAAACAAGCAAAGCGTACGAAAAAAGACATAGTTGGTGCCTCATGTATCAAAAACGACAAAAATGAGATGGTTCTTGAACAAAATGAGATCAAGCTACAGTGGAGAGAATACTTCAACCGTCTGTTAAACGAAACAAATCCCATCAATGTTAACTTTGACGCTCCACCCATCGAAGGTCCGATTTCAGACTTGACTGTGTGCAGAGGAGCTTACAGAAGCTCTGAAAGCTATGAAGGATGGAAAAGCAGCATGGCCCTCTGGACTCACAAATGACATTATCAAAGCATCTGGTCCTGCAGGTATCCAAACGATACTACAACTTTGCCGTGAAATCTGGAGAAATTGCTCAATGCCGACTGAATGGAACTATAGCATGACAGTCCCGCTATACAAAGGCAAAGGTGATCCATTGAACTGTTCATCATATCGGGGTATACGTCTGCTAGAACACTCCCTGAAAATTGTCGAGAAAATCATTGAGAGAAGATTAACGTCGTGCATCACAATCGGAAATTATCAAATTGGTTTCCTAGCGGGAAGATCAACAATTGATGCAATTCATATTCTTCGGCAACTGCAAGTGAAGTACTTCGCAAAGCATCAACAACTATCAGACATTTTTGTAGACCTTGAAAAAGCATTTGATCGTGTTCCCCGTGAAGCAATCAGGTGGAGTCTACGTCGACAACACATTCCAGAATATCTTGTTCGACTTGTGATGGAAATGTATACGAATACTAAGACTATTGTCAGCACAACGGTTGGAAACACAGACTCGATTCTCAGTTCACTGTTATTTATAACTGTGATGGAAGAAATCACTAAACCGATACGCACTGGTGACATTTGGAATCTAATATATGCTGATGATATCGTTTTAAAAGGCACGTCTGAGCAGAATGCAGCACAAATGTTTGAAGATTAGAACACCAGACTCGCCGATCATGGATTCAAAGTCAACATCAGCAAAACCAAAGCAATGAACACTGGTGAACCCACCCAATCCACAGTTACTGGAAGATGGCCCTGTTCAGTTTGTAAAGCTGGTGTAGGTAACAATTCAATCAAGTGTCAGCAGTGTAACCAGTGGTGTCACAAACGTTTTTCAAAAATAATTGGTACTTTATCTAATACTTTATCTAAAGTGTCCAATTTTGTTTGTCCTGCTTGCATCAATCCACAACAACAAATTCGAAATAGCAATGTTTTTGAAGCCATTAAGGTAGAGAAAGTCACATTGTTTCAATATCTAGGGGATGTTCTGGATTGTACTGAAACAGCTGAAGCTGCCGTTCGAGCACGCATACGTGCAGCCTGGAATAAATGGCATCTCCTTGCCTCTATATTGATGCGGCGTGACATCCCACTACCACTACGATCAAGACTTTATAAATCTGTGATACGTCCGGTTTTGTTATATGGTGCAGAAACATGGTCAATGACAACCAAACTAGAACAACAACTTCAACGAACCGACATGAAAATGCTCCGATGGATGCAACGAATTAGTCTGAAGGACCACATCAAACCTACCGAAATCCTGCGTAGTGCTGGTTTAGATGATATAAAGTACGAATGCCGGCAACACCGTCTGCGGTGGTTTGGTCATGTCAAACGAAGTAGAAACAGTGCCATAACTTCTCTTGCAGATGTTGAAGTACCTGGCAAATGTCCCAAAGGCCGTCCAAAGAAGTCCTGGTTGTTTCAACATTTGCAAAGAATCTAAAATTTTCGCATGATTAAAATTTAACAACGCTAGAATCTGTTAAATTATTAGCGGGCATACATTTTAAACTCATTTGGACAAGAAGCTGAAAAATATTGGATCACGCATTCATTCTCTTTCGTTTAGATTATGTTTTTTTTGAATGCATTTGTTAGAGTGCGGAAAAATCACATCCTCCCAATATAAAGCAAACAGCATTGGCAAAAGATCGACACAACGCATTACTCTGTACTTTTTACTTCTACCACGTCACAATAAAACATCATAATAAATGCAGTTGAGAAAACCTGCTTTACTATTTAGCGTTAAGACTCAAATAAAAAAATTAACATCGATTATCTTACTGCTCAATATACTAATAAACACAAATGCAATATAATATAAAAAATAATTAAAAATAAATTAGTATAACCTATCTGTTAAAGGGGTAATAACTAATCTTTCGGTGCATCCGATAAATTCATTCTGATAAATATTTATCACATCCGTAATAATGCAATTGGTTTTATCTTCTTCATCATCAAAATAAAATCGGCTTTGTTTAAGCCACTCAAAATCAGAAACTGACTTAACATGCAATTTCACCTGAAATGTAAAAACCATTATTTGTTCATATGGTTAGTAATAATTATAAGAAATCTTTAATTAAATAGCCATCAATCAATAGAATAAATTTCATTAAGAGAAGTTAATCTTTAAATTATTTTAATTTCATTGAAATGTAAGTACAGTAAATTTAACAAACTGTAATGACTATATGTGAATTATATGTTGGTTATATTTAAAAAAAGATGTCAATACATTAAAAATTTCATTGAAAAAATTCTAAAACCTGTTCTGGTTTAATTACATGGAATAAATGTAAACAAACAAATCATTTATAGTTATGATCATTCAGATCATTGGGTTTATTCGCTAATAATATAACAGTGTTAGTGAAATCGAATAATCTCAGGCAAGTAAAATATTATCAAATAAAAAACTAACGTACCAGGTCATCAAAGATATCTTTTTGATGTAGATGTATTGTGATGACCGTTTCGATCTTGACCGTTTCATATTTTGTTAAAGGTTTGGTGGTTTGTTCAATAAACAAATTAAGTAAACTTAAAAATTTTTTAGCTGTTTCAGGCATGACATGCTTGTTATATTTAGTCATATGCAGAGCCTCTTCTGCGTCACGCGTCCATGAAAACTGCAGTGCCAATAAACCAACCTGAGAACAAAATTTTAGAAATATATATTTAGATAGCAACAACAACCGAAAAAAATAATAACAGCAACCAAGTCAGCTCAGTCAATAGAAGTGCAATAATTCGCGCTGCTATTATACGATGGCATTGTTCGAATACAGTCTGTCCGAAACTAAAAAAATCATACCCGCATGATGCGGTGCTTGTGCATGCATAAGTAATGTGCATATGCGTTGTGTGGTGTAGACAGTACAGCCTTTGTGGAACGAATGTTTAATTACAAATATAGATATATAAAAACGTCCAGCATTTTCGAACACAGAGCTGCATTATATAGAAGAAAAAAACAACAGCAAAAACAACTATTATAATAATAATAAAAAGTTGTAATTTTTAAAAAATTGTAAAAAAAGAGCTACAAATTATCCTCGCCATATAAACAAAATAAAAACATAAAAAAGCTATTATGAAAAATAAATAACCCAAAACGCTCCTTAATTATCATGCTAAGATAAATTAATAGCATAATTAATTCTGTGAGGAATAAGTACCATCGACACAAATAATTTATATTTTCTCAAACCTTAGCATAGTCTAACAACAAAGTTGCATGGCTAACAACGCTGTTTCGGCAAATGTGCTATCTTCAGAGCCTTAAAACAAGCGTAAATTTTTACATAAATGATAAATAAAATCAATTATTAAATAAAATATAATTACTTTCGAAATGTTGTTAACGATAAAAATAAATTAAATTATGAATAATATTAATTAAAAAGATAAAATCTTTATAAATATATAAAAATTAAATGTTACAGAAATAAATCAAACTGATATATGTATGAAGGAGACATTGAGAATAAAGTTGTAGAGTGAGGTCAAAACTGTTGACTTGTTTTTTTTTCAAATTGGTCAAACCGGATGTGATTCGTAGTCGAGAATCGTTGTTGTGTTGGTGTCCAGTAGAGCTCGAGTGAAAAGTAACTGGTGTTGATCGTACAAATGTCCTTTAATAGCACCATCCTGAATATACGAGGTTAGACGTTTAGAAAAAGAAGTGCACGTGTAACTCTCCACAGCAGTGTGGCATAGAATATGACAAACAAATTGGTACACGAAATTTTTCTTTTCTAGGTTGGAAGGCAAAAGCAACGACGTAAAATGTGATCGAGTTAGATGAGCTATTTTAAAAAACGCCAAAGATTGGATCGTGTACTTCCTGTTTTAGAAGAAAAACGAAGTTTTCCAAAGTACATAATAAACAGGCATGAGGCCTGTTGGGGTGGTAACATCTGAGAATCTCAGTTATCGTTATTGAACTGTGTTGTAGAAGATAATAAGCTCAGTAGCCACGATCTCAAAACTGCAAAGTATCAACAGCTGATTCAGAATTGGATAAAGCAAAGATAAAAAACTAGATTTTATGATGTTTAGGTTGTAGCGTCGATGAATTAAGACTATCAGGCAAAAGTGTACAGAATGTGTGAAGAAAGTTATTAGTAGTAAAGAGCAAGCTTTTTATTGATTGTGGTTGAATAGAAACAAAAAGGAGTGTCTTTTAAATTTACAAACAACGCACTGTTGATTACAACAATAGCAGTGATTGAAAGTGATGACTCATCAAATGGTAATGAACCAAGGCCATTGCTACTGTAATATTATTCAATTTAGATTATAATTCTCATCCGCAATATTTGTTTATTGTATATTAGAACATTGCGAAACAAAAATTGCGTAGCAGTCTGATATGTCTACAGTTATTATACTACTGAAGATTCATCCAGATTGTTAGTGAAAATGTGTATTGTCAGCTTTGTGCTAATTTCTCTGGTTAGCATATTTATCATAAAGAATATTGAAAAAGATAGTAAAACAAATGTCTGGTGAGTATTTTGCATTTTTGATTTGATATTTATATGTCAATATTTAAGTCACTTGTTAAAAATATGGTGCTGCTTAGCGACCATTTATGGCGTGTTGATTTGGAATTGTTTGTTTTTTTTAAATTTAGCAATTTAGACAATATTAAAAAAGTGTATTTATTCTTTTTAAATAAATTCAAATTAATTTTTCATGCCTTACTACTTTACTCTGTAATTATTCGTATATTTTTTTGCAATTATTTCTTCATATAATGTGTGAGTAGCGTAGTGACCGTATTGTATCGTTTTAACGGTATTTTTATTTTAAAATTATTTGTATCAAATTTGAATTTTAAGTAGAAAAAGTTGACAGCAATAAATGGCAACCAACTGTCCATAACTTTTGCCAAGGAAACCATTGACAAATACAAGCCAAATCAAAAAACATCATGATAGTGACACGTTGAATACACCTTTCACTGTGGCAACTTGGAACGTTAGAACTTTACTACCTTACTCTGTAAATATTCGTATATTTCTTTGCAATTATTTCTTCATATAATGTGTGAGTAGCGTAGTGACCGTATTGTATCGTTTTAACGGTATTTTTATTTTAAAATTATTTGTATCAAATTTGAATTTTAAGTAGAAAAAGTTGACAGCAATAAATGGCAACCAACTGTCCATAACTTTTGCCAAGGAAACCATTGACAAATACAAGCCAAATCAAAAAACATCATGATAGTGACGTTGAATACACCTTTCACTGTGGCAACTTGGAACGTTAGAACTTTACTACCTTACTCTGTAAATATTCGTATATTTCTTTGCAATTATTTCTTCGTATAATGTGTGAGTAGCGTAGTGTACCGTATTGTATTGTTTTAACGGTTTTTTAATTTAAAAATATTTGTATTAAATCTGAATTCGACAAACACAAACCAAATCAAAAAACATCATGATAGCGAAACGTTGAATACACCTTTCCCTGTGGCAACTTAGAATGTTAGAATGTTGTATCAGACTGGGAAATTTGAGAACGTAAAAAAAAATAAAAGAATGATTCTCAGCATTCTAGATTTGAGCGAAACTCGATGGAAGAAATCAGATGTCATTACTTTTGAAAAAGTCAAATTTATATACTCTGGGGTGATTCACACGAACGCGGAGTAGGTGTACTTTTAAACAAAGAAATGACTAAACATTTAAAAGATTTCTGGGTGGTGTCAGAGTTCTGTTTGTCAAAATACATGCAAAACCTTTCAACCTAGCTGCCATTCAAGTTTATGCGCCAACGTCTGAAAGCAGTGAAGATGATCTTGATGCTTTTTACAGTGATCTTGATGGTGCTTTAAAATCATCATAAAAAAAGTTGTTGTTATGATGGGTGACCTGAATGCAAAAGTTGGCTCGAAAAAAATAAATGATGGGATAGGTAAAAGAATGAAAGAGATGATTTAGGTATTTCAGTTTCCCTGTCGATCGTTTTACGAATACATTTTACATCGTTGGTTCCCATTACTATCTCCGCATTTCTTCATCTAAGGAAGCGTTTTTCTAAATTAATTTTAACACCATGTTTTGTTAGAAAATCAACGCTTATTATGCATTCGTCAGTGATATCTGCTATTAAGAATGTGCCCTTGAATGCCAAATCGCATAGTTAACAGTGTAAAAATTTCTTCGTAGACGATAGCTTTTCCTCCTGTAGCTGTTCGAAGAATGCATTTATGAAAATTTTCTCTTTTCAGGTTTGCTACCAAATCGGATCTTAAAATTGACCTCGTTGCTCCCGTGCCGATCGTAACTGAACATTCTTGTGAACCAACTTTTCCATCCAACCAAAGGTCGTATTGACTTCAATGCAGCCTAGTACTGGGTACTGGGGGCGTCAATTCTACCAGCCAACTTTTGCATTGATTACTGCCGATTGCTGTTCAGCTTTGACATCAAATTTTTCTTTAAGTTCTCTCAATGTTGTATCATTTTAGCATCAGTTGCGGCCGACTCTTCGATTTTGGCATCGATTTGATCTCTCGTTTGTTCACTTTTTGCATCAATTTAATCTCTCGTCTGTTTTATTTCTGCTGACTGTTGTTCAATTTTTGCATCAATCGTAGCCGACTGTTGTTTAATTTTGGCATCAAGTTATTCTTTCGTTTGTTTTATTTCTGTTGACTGTTGTGTGATTTTTGTTGACTGTTGTTCGATTTTTGCCTACTGTTGTTCAATTTTTGTAGATTGTAGTTTTATTTATGTCGTTCGGAGTAGAGTCTCAATTCGGTGTTTGTCCCAGCGTCGATTTGATATCCTGAGCGTCACACTCGAATTCATCTGGCTTTTTGTTTTCATTAAATAGGGCTTCCGTTATGCGTGCTATCAATGCTTCTCTGTTCAAGATTTTGTTTTTATAATTCTTCTTTAAGTTGCACCAATTTTAGTTGATGTATTTTCGTCATGTTGTTTTCATTAATTATAATCAACGTCATTTAATTTTACTAATAAATTGTTAATGTCCACAAATTATCAAATTAACATTCAAAAACTATCGCTTTCTGAATAACAATTCACTAACATTTATCGCAAATACAATAAAAACACAACGCAGTCAAATATCAAATATTACTTTCAACACTAATAATCAATCGCTTTCTAACATGAAATATTCAAAGACAACTATTCAATATCTCGCATGACTTTATATATCCGTTTTACCAACTCTTTTCGAACGTCCTAGATACCTCGCTGTCGGAAGGTTCTAGTTCTTTCTCGAAAAATAGACGGGGTCTCGTGGCCGAGTAGTTAGCGTGTCCGCCTACTACTCCCACGACACAGGTTCAAATCCTGCAGTTTCTGCAGATTGATCCGGGTCGCCGAGCCTCGGCCAACCCAGTCGTCCATCTTTCCAAGGTCGGGAAATGGGGAGACGACGTAAGTTGTCGCATGTTGGCCGGCGAGATGGCTAAGGTTCAAGTGCTCGCTGAGTCAAACATCTCAAAGGATAGACAGCCTTTCTGGCGAAGATGACTGCATCAAATCAAATATATATTTGTGACGGTTATAACAATATGTTCAATCAATCAATCAATGATCCTCCTTTGTCCATTGAGGGACCGTCGAGGCCGATGGTGTACATCTAAGCATGCTTTTTACTTTTATTTTTTCCTTTTTTCTTTCCAAAAACCTTTTCTGTCTTTAGTCAGTTTTATTGAATTCAGAATACCAACACCAGTCCATTCAGTAATAGTAATGTCATCTATCCATTTCTTTGCAGGTTTACCAATTTTTTTCTTCCAATCTCTTTTCCTCATTAGTACCATCTTAATCAATCTGTCTTCTCTCATTCTACAAATGTGTCCAAAAAATCCCAATTTTCTTTCTCTGACTTTGTCATATACACTTTTCTGTCTTCCAAATTGATTTCTGATGGTTTCATTCTTTACTTTCTACCTCCAGCTGATTCCCAACAAATTTCGGTAACACTTCATCTCAAATGCTTTTGACAATCTGTCTTTGTCTCTTTTCTTTATTGTCCATGTCTCACATGCATAGAGCAAGCTCGGAAAAACCCAAGATTCTATCATTCTCAACTTTGTTTTTATAGATATATTTCTACTTTTCCATATTTCCTTCAATGATGCGAACATTCCATGGGCTATTGCTATCCTTCTGTCAATTTTTTTTTGGGCAGTTGTTGTCACAGGTTATAAGACTGCCAAGATACACAAACCGGTCTACTTGTTTGAGTTTTCTGATTCTATCTGAAATTCCGCATAGTTTCTGCCTTTTCCCGTAATTATCATCTTCGTTTTGTCTTTGTTGATATGCAACCCGTGATCTTTTCTACCAACATGTGTTAGTTCAATTAGTTTCTGTAGACCTTCTTCACTAGAAGCTAGAAGGTTTATATCGTCTGCAAACCTGAGATTTTTGACAGTTCTCCTTTCTATGTCAATTCCACCCAATTCTAAATTTTCTATTTTTTCCAATGTTTTTTCTAGCAATGCTATGAATAGTATTGGTGATATTGGATCGCCCTGTCTGCTTCCAATGTCTGCCTTTATCCAATCCCCAAGTTCTGTATCTATTTTTACCGACATTTTTGATTCTTCATAAAGTCCTTTCAGTACTTTGACCAGCTTTTTTGATGTCCCCATACTTTCTAATGTTGCCCACAAACCTTCCTGCCAGACAGAATCAAACGCTTTCTTAAAATCAACAAAGCAATGGTAAATTGTCTGACCGCTACTTTTTGCATCCTCCATCAGCAGTCTCAACATCAAAATTTGTTGGATCGTGCTTCTGTCTTTTCTGAAGCCTGCTTGTTCTTTATGCAGATGTTGCTCTATGACTTTTTCCAGTCGTTGTTTTATGATGGTCAGCATGATCTTGCATATGTGCGAAATTAGTGCAATTATTACAGTCTTTTTGGTCTCCCTTTTTCGGCAGCATAACCAGAACTGACTTGCACCATTCTTCTGGTCATTTTCCACTTTCCCAAATTTCTTGACAGATTGTGTGAATTTCTTTACACACGACTTGTCCTCCTGCTCTTTTCAGTTCTATCGGAATACCATCCTTTCCTGTACTTTTGTTGTTCTTCATATTACTCATTGCTCTTGTAATTTCTTCCCTCGTTATTTCATTTTCTTCTTCATTGGTTATTTTTCTGCTTTTCAAAATTTCAAGCGTTTCTTTTTTGTATGTGTTCTTGTCTGTGAATAAGTCTTTAATATATTCAGTCCATCTATCCTTAATCTTTTTACTTTCTGTTAGGATGTTTCCGTTTTATCTTTAATTATCCTTGACATATTTTTCTGTTTTCCTTTTAACTGTTTAACCAGCTGGTACGCCTCTCTTGTCTTTTTTGCCAAATCATCGTCTCTACCTTTTCACATTTACCATTAATCCATCCCCTTTTATCTGCTCTAGCATTCTTTATTATTTTTTGGCAGACTTCTTTGTATTTCATCTTATTTTCTTCACTCCGTCTTTTTGTCATTTTCAAACTTCTTTCTTCTACAAGGTTTCATGTTTCATCGCTTATCCACGGTTTTATTTTGTTCGTTTTGATTTTACAACTTTCACCTGCTGCTTTGAGAATTTTTTCTAGGTTGCTAACTCTTGTTTTCATATCGTAATTGGCTGCTGAGTCCAATTCATGTTCGATTATATTTTTTATATCCTCCATCTTCTGCTTTATCATTTCTGTGTTGTGTCTCACTTTCATAGTGCTTTCTCTCATTTTAAGCTTTTGTTTTATCTTCATGGTGACGTTGCATAAGACAAAGCGATGATCTGATCCAATTTCTGCACTTGGGAAAGCTCCACATTGGGTGACAAATTTCATCCATTTCTGTTCTATCAGTATTAAATCTATTATGTACATATGTACATTGTTTTTCCGTCTGGTAACTCCCAAGTACATTTGTTATTGTTTTGCCTCCTTGTGTTTGTGACATATAATCGTCGGTCCTTCACAAACTCTAGTAACCTTTTCCCTCTATCATTTCTATCTCCTACACCGTATTTTCCCATAACTTCTTCAAATCCAATGTTGTCACTTCCAATTTTAGCATTCCAGTTCCCAACAATGATCTTAACATCTTTCTTTAGTAATGTTTTCAATGTTTGTTTCAGTTGTTTGTAGAACGTTTCAACTTCATCATCCGAATGATTTGTTGTTGGAGCACAAGCAACTATCACAAAAATATCTCTTGGATATCCTTTGAATCTGGCATACATCAACCTGTCATTACGGGATTGTATTCAATTAATGCTCTTCTTGCTTTCTCTCCAAGAATCATTCCCACTCTATGAATATGCTCGGTTTCTGTGCCTGACCATAACAGTTTTCCTTTCTCCAATTCTCCACTTCCTGTCTAACTTCACACAAACCAACCACATCATATCTAAACCTCTCAAGCTCTTTTTCAGCATCGCATATGTTCCACCTTGCCAGAGTGACCTCACATTCTAAATTCCAACTGTGAATTTCATCTTCATTTTACCTCCTTGGGACTGAGTAACAAACTTTTCTTTGTAGCTCCTAGTCCCCAAAGCTGCAATGCGGTCCTTGTTGTCCCGGGCGACGACCGAGCCGGTATGATTATTTGCTGTTGTGTTTACCATCGTGTTTGTAGCGTTTTTAAAACTGTGTAGCAAACTCCTGTCAACCCTCCTCCTTTACCCGGACTTGGGACCGGCATCAAACTCTGCTGGATTGCAGCCCCGGTGGTGGAGTTATAATAATATGTTACTGAACTCAAAAAGGGTTACAATTTCTGTGACGGTTATAACAATATGTTATTGAACTAAAAATGGGTTACAATAATATCTGCAGCAATAAAAACCTCGTTCCAAATTACATAATAAATATATTTTTTGAAACTGTTATATAACAATGTTTTGGCCTCTCAAAGCTTTGTTTTATTTTATTTTTTTAACTTTCGGTAATCGTCATCATTGTTTATCGCACTAGATAACCTTTCACCTTTTATGTGTCCTACTTCTCTAGTGAGTCAGGTTCTCAAACAAAATTTTCCAGCTTATTGCAGGCTTGCAGTTTACACTCCAGTTAGAATTTTAAAATAAAAAAATTTATGAAATTATAATAATTCTTATAATTCCTACAAAGGCTGATGAACCGGGCTGCCAGAGTTGTACTGAGTACTGATACACCACCAAATCGTCTAGCATCTGCAACATCGAATTTGAAAGGCCTTCACTGGCTACCTTTTCATTACCGTGTCCAGTTCTAAATCGCCATCATTGTTTTCAAGTTGTCATCAAATTCTTCATCTAAATATCAACAATCAATATCTTCGCTCTGCCAATGCACCGGTTCTTCTTCGAAATTTCTTCGACCAACATTGGTAAACGAGCATTTCGTCATGCTGCTGCAGTTGTCTGGAATTCGTTGCCTCCAGACATCAGAAATTGCAGCTCTCTCTGTGGTTTTAAATCTATTTTAAAAACTCATTATTTCAATCTAGCTTTTAATCGATTATAATTTTATATTTTATTGCATGCTGCTTTTAATTTATATTCAATTTATTCAATTTTATTCAATTTTTATTTATTATTAAATCAACAAAAATTACAATTTTAATTTAATTTTTGTTTTTATTATTTGTTTCTTATCATTGGGCTCATATCGCCATGGTTGATTGTGAATTTTTTGATTCCGGGGGCGCCTCAGTTGCCTGCACTGGCGCTTTACAAATGACATCTATTATTTATTTATTATTATTAATTCTAATAATCGTGAAATGAATAGTTTTTAAAGAGTTATGAGTTATAAAAAAATTACTTGTGCAATTGATTCATAAATGAAAGGTAATATGAGGAAATCTTCTTCAGATATTTGTGTCGAAGTCAACCTGATAATACTGTGGAGCGACTTCTGTTGCAATGATAACAATTCTCCTAACCACACTTCAACTGTTCCAGTAGCTCTTAACACACTTTCAAGCTTTTCAAATAAAACAATTAATATCATTGACAACCTCAAAATAATAATCATTTAAAAAGTCTTTAGTCTTGTGGTTAGTTGGTTGTGGATGGTTGGTTGTGGTTGGTTGGTTGTGGTTGGTTGGTTGGTTGGTTGTGGTTGGTTGTGGTTGGTTGGTTGGTTGGTTGGTTGGTTGTGGTTGGTTGGTTGTGATTGGTTGGTTGTGGTTGGTTGGTTGTGGTTGGTTGGTTGTTGGTTGGTTGACTGACTGAGTGACTAACTGAGTGACTGACTGACTGACTGGATTGATTGATTGACTGACTGGATTGATTGATTGGTTGGTTGGTTGGTTGTAGTTAGTTGGTTGTGGTTGGTTGGTTGTGGTTGGTTGTGGTTGGTTGGTTGTGGTTGGATGAATGACTGAGTGACTGACTGACTAGATTGATTGATTGACTGACTGGATTGATTGATTGATTGGTTGGTTGATTGATTGATTGATTAATTGATTGATTGATTGATGAAATACAGAT